TTTCCACTTGCATCTTGAAACTAAAGAAACTGAAATATTAGTCAAAAAATATTGGTTGAACACCTACTATGTTCCAGGCAATGTGTTACTTTCCTCATCAACTTGATTTTGTGGGTTTATTGATGTTATTTTAATGTTTGGACATAAGCTTCTTTCCTGAAGCAGTCTTTATCTGTTATTGTCAGTTTTAGGTAATTTTGACTGTAAGATTTGGTCATTTCTTAGAGTTATGTATTTATGGGCCTACTCTCACATCATCATATTTCCCTCCTGCATTCTGCATAGGTGATTAGGTTTCCTCTAAGTAGATTTTAAAATCTTACCTCGCTTTTAGTTCTCATTTTGTAGTCCAAAGCCACTTCAAACTCTGCCACGAGTTACAAACTCAAATGTTTTCTGGGGCTACACAGGTATCCTAATATATATAAAGAGCTAGGTGCCATCACGATCGAATGGGCAACTGGTCACCATGAAGTGCATGGAGCACCTCTCGGTCCCCCCCTCCCCTGGCCCTTGAGCCTCTCACCATGACGGGGGGCTGGCGGCGGGGCAGGACTGGGGACTGTTGAGCGGTAGTGGCGGGCTGCTTCACGGGGTGGCCATGACTTACCAGAGCAGTCACCTGGGCAGCAGCCTCATGGAGCAGTGGCGGGGTGGGGGAGTTTAGCGGAGCATCCAATGGCAAGCTCTGTGGGGCGGCAGCAAGCTTCATGTAGCAATTGAGGGGTGGGGGGTGCCTCACGGAGCAGTTGCGGGGCTCGCGGAGCAGTCGAGGGGCCATGAGCATCGCGGAGCGTGCCGGGGCGGGGAACCTCACCTAGCATCACAGGGCGGCAGAGGCCATGCAACCGAGGCCAGGCTAGACCTAGGGACCTTAACTACGCGCAATTTTGTGCTTACTGGGCCTCTAGTAATAAGTATATGAAGCAGGCCAGTGTAAAGTAAGTAGGAATTGATAGGGTCTGTGTAAACAAATTTTTTAGATAATTCATTTTCAAATAAGAAAGTGAAATACCAGTTTATTGGTGACAGTGATGTGTACCAGTTTTAAAATAGGAAATACTAAGAACTTTGCAGCATGAACCCAAATCCAGCTAGTGCTAATGTATTTCTGGGGTGAGGTATATGTATTGTTTTGTTTTAATTTATTGTGGACATCTTTCCATGTCAAATTACATAGATCTATATTTTATATCATTTAACAACTGTGCCAGTTTCTATTGTAAGGATGCATGGTCATTTATTTTCCATTCCCATGTTGATATCAGGAAAAATCTAAAATATGCTTTGATGTCACCATTACAGATTCTAAAGATTAAGTCATTTTTCTTTATTTTAAAATATCCTAACAAATAAAGAGGGAATATGCTAATTGACCCTCACGCCATCGCAAATATGGCGGCACCCACAGCCAATAAGGAGGGAGTATGCTAATTGATGCCCCGCCCTTAAAGATGGCTGCGCTCACAGCCAATAAGGAGGGAATATGCTAATTGACTGCCTTGTGCTCAAAGATGGCAGTGCCCACAGCCACAAGATGGTGGCGCCCAGTACCCTCAGCCCCACTGGGGTGGCAGGCGTGCAGCAAGGCTGCGCCTGCCCCAAGGTGGGCCCGGCCTTGCCACGTGCCTGCTTCTGGAATCCCCCAGTCCCCTCAGCCCCCCAGCAGCCCAGGGCCGGCCCGAGGTGCAGGCAAGCCTCGGCTGTCGGCTGCCCAGCTGCTCAGGGCCGGCCCGAAGGGCAGGCAAGCATTGGATGGCAGCTGCCCAGCCAACACCCAAGGTACAGGCAAGCCTCAGATGGTGGCTGCCCAGCCACCCAGGGCCACCCGAGGCTCAGGTAACCAGGGCCAGCCGAGGCTTGCGCTGCCGGCAGTGGCAGCAGCAGAGGTGTGATGGGGGTGTCGCCTTCCCCTGATTGCTGGGTTGCCTCCCGGACTGTGAGAGAGGGCAGGCTGGGCTGAGGGACCTTCCTCCAGTGCATGAATTTTCATGCACCGGGCCTCTAGTAATTTCAATAAAAGTCTAATAGAAATTATTTTTAAACTTAAAAGATTATTCTAAGAAATAGTAGATCATATCATTTGCATAATTTTTAGGAAGCTTTAATTTAGTTATATTTCTTTCCGGTTAAACAAATAAATTTAGCTGAACCATTTTCAGGATCACAATTTCTTGGGCATTGATGAATAACGGGCCCTTATACAGTAGTTTGAAGCCTAAAGAAGATTCTATGTAAATTCACAGCATAATATATATGTATCAACATTCACACATAAAGAGACAGCGATGAATAGTGATGTATCTGTTAGAACTAAAGTTCACATCATATTGTGTAGATGTCCTTGCTTTAAGAATCAGTCATTACTTGTTCATTATAGGAAATAAGTAAAGTGGTGATTTCTTGCAGTTTAATCATTTTGGCAAACCACTACTTTCTTTATGGGAGTGTGATTTCATCAGTTTGCTTCCTGTATTAAGCCCTTTGGTCTAATTTCATTCTAGTCAGGAAAGATAGCAAGAAAGTTTTACTGGACATATATTAAGAGCTTTTCCTCTGGAATATAGACTTTTAAAAAACTTTTTTATTGAAATTGAAAGTATAATGCAGTTAGAATACATTTTCTAATTTGGAATCCAGTTCTACTTCATCTGATATGGAATCCAGTCACACCCATTGAATGTAGAATTGTTTGTGTGTAGCATTTTTTTAGATGAGATATTTTATAACTTTTAACACATTTTCAAAGTGGTGAGGTGCTGGGAGTGGCACTGGCCATCATGGTGGTAGATAGTAGATCAGTGCCCTGATGTCTTAATGATGCTGCAGCAGGCACCAATTTATTCATTGTAGCCTTTGCCATATTAAAGATGTTTTGGCATTTTTTTTATAAGGAAAAAAATATTAGTAACTGAAGATGAGAGCTTGGGTAACTTGTGACCATTAGTAACTGAAGATGAGAGCTTAGGTAACTTGTGACCTGGCACAATTCAAACAGGTACAAGACATTCTCTATTCTTTATATATAAAGATGCTGGGCTAGTCCTAGGGCTCAGCTCTGGAGCAGACCCTACTTTTGGCAAGATCTTCTCTGCTATCTTAACAGAGGGCCAGAAGTATAGAAAACCATACTTGTATTTCTTATATGGAAATGAATGGATGGTGTGGTTTAAAAAAATAATAATACCAAGTTAATTGTGGAAAAGATAAGAATTAAAAAGTTAAGCCCAGCCCACATGGCTAAGCATTGACCTATGAACCAGGAGGTCATAGTTCAATTCCCGGTCAGGGCACATGCCCAGGTTATGGGCTTGATCTCCATTGTTGAAGGCGTGCAGGAGGCAGCTGATCAGTGATTCTCTCTCATCACTGATGTTTCTATCTCTCTTTCCCTCTCTGAAATCAATAAAAATATATTTCAAAAAAATAATTAAAAAGTTAAGAATGGCATGTAAACAAATATATATTTAGTAAGAACGATAAGTTCTTTGGATCTCAAAATTTTTAATTCTATTATCCACCTTAGGTTTTTCACTAAAAATCTGTATTCTTTGTCATATATAGATCCTCCTCCTCCTCCCTAGGAAAATATATCATCATGCATTTTGGATTAAAGTAACTGCTATCATTGATTCCTCTATTAACCATAATAAAGTTCTTTAAAGTTATAGTTTCTTGTTAATTTGATTAAGTTTCGAATGATTGTATAGGGTAAAATATTTTATATAATTTATTATTTTCTCTTTATTTTCTCTAAGAAGTAGATTATCAACTAAATTTTCCCCCATTTAGTGAAGTGAACTGTAGGGTCACCACTTTTCTTTAATTTTCAATGGAAAATATGCATTCTATAGTAATAGTGATAACCTGAAAAAGTCCAATTCTGAATATTGTTGAAGTAAAATTTAAAGGCATAATGAATTTTGGTTTTCCTTTGTTCATGTATTGTGACAAATATGTCTGCTCCCCCTCATATATATTAAACTAGAGGCCCGGTGCATGAAATTTGTGCACGGGGGCAGGAGGGTGTGTCCATCAGCCTGACCTGCACCCTCTCCAATCTGGGAGCCCTCAGGGGATGTCCTACTGATGGCTTAGGCCCACTCCCTGTGGTTCTCTGCTCTCTGCATGGCCTGCCTGCTTCACACCGCAGCGACTGCCAAGCAGGCCGTGCTGGGTGCTGCCTGCAGGCTGCTCTTCCCTGCTCCTGGGTCACTGCAGCGACAGCCAAGCAGGCCATGCTGGGAGCTGCCTCCTACCTGCTGTCAGTCTCAACAGAGATGATGAGGTTAATTTGCATACTCATTCCTGATTGGCTGGTGAGCATAGCAGAGGGACGGTCAATTTACATGTTTCTCTTTTATTGTATAGGATATCCTATATAATAAAAGCCTAATATGCCAAATGTCCAGTCATCCAGTCATCCGTTCAACCAATCAAAGCATAATATGCTAGTGATATGCTAAGGCCACTCAACTACTCACTATGATGTGCACTGACCACTAGGGGGCAGACAGTCAATTGCTTGTCCAGTTGCTATGACATGCACTGACCACCAGGGGGCAGACACTCTGACTGGTAGATTAGCTTGCTGCTGGGGTCCAGCCGATCGGGACTGAGCTCTCCCATGCTCCCTTCCCGGCTGGCCAACCTCCTGCGTCCTTCCCCGGCCCCAATCATGCACCAGTGGGGTCCCTCGGCCTGACCTGTGCCCTCTTGCAATCTGGGACCCCTTGGGGATGTCGAAGAGCCGCTTTCGGCCCGATCCCACAGGCCAGGCCAAAGGACCCCACTGATGCACGAATTAGTGCACCAGGCCTCTAGTTAGAAATAAAATTATATATCAAATTCCCATTCTCTAAAAAAAATTTTGCAGAGCTTAAGTTAAACACAAATGAGAAATTGGTAATAATTTAGAATATGATTGAAATAAAAAACTGAGTCATTTATTACTTTAAAATTTCAAGATTTATATTAAAAGCATCATTGTCTTCTTTCAGATCAATTTGCGCCTCATCTTGGTAAGCGGAAAGACAAAAGAGTTCCTGTTTTCTCCGAATGACTCTGCTTCTGACATTGCCAAGCATGTGTATGACAATTGGCCAATGGGTGAGTGGTGTTTTTCCTATTGAGAATGAATAATGTTACTTCTTCATGCCCTTACCTTATTTCACAAACATTTTGAAAAAGTTTTAAATATCCTATATAATAAAGAGCTAATATGCTAATTAGACCAGACAGCAGAACAACTTTCCGGAACGAGGCCTTGAGGCCAAGAGGTAGCCGGGGCTGCGAGGGCCGAGCCCCCTGCACGAATTTCGTGCATCGGGCCTCTAGTATAAGAGATAAAAGAACAAACTAATAGAGGGTATAAGGATCAAAGGTAAAGGGGACCACCTTCCCTATTTTGCTCTTCAGCTACCTCACTGCAAAATGGTAAAGGATCCACAATGCCAGGTCCTTGTTTTTGACTTAGAACTGCTTGATATAAATGAAAACTATTTTTAAAAGTAAAACATAATATAGCAAACATACACTTTCATATAAGTAAACCCATTTATGCTGAAACACAAAGTAAAGGAAAAGAAAAACTACCTTAACAGATTATAATACATTCTCTTTGGTCTATTCTATACATAGCCTATTTAAAATTGAGTTTGACACAAAGTTAATTTCTAATTTATGTCACTTCATAAGTTTTCTGAACTACTTACAAGGTCAAGAAGGTATAAAGTCTATTTGTGCTTTGCATATTTAAGCTAGTATCCATGGCACCAAAATTGGGGGGTGTCATTCCTTCTTTTCTCTGGTTTTCTCTGTAATAAGACTCCATCTTGCCTTCCTAATGTGAGTCTTTAGCTTATGTTCTTCCTTTGAACTTTCCCCATGTTCTCTTGACCCTTTTATGGCATGTACCATAGTGATACGACTGTTTCAGCTGATTTCACTTAATTTTACTAGTCAAAGCAATTTGGACTTTTAAAGGACAAGACTTGTTTCAACAAAGAACACAGTATATACAAATGATTAAATTACTTCAGTGTCTCTCAACCTTAAATAATATATGGAATTTTTTTAGAGGAAGAAAATTCTTATAGATTCCTTAGTGCTGGCTTAAATTATTTTTATCACAATGTTTATTTTTAAAGATAGAAACATGAAACCCAGTTAAAACTCTTTATCCTTATTAACTCATATACCATAAAACTAAAACAGATCCACAAGGAAAATGCAAACATAACTCTAAAACCAATAATATTCAAATTAAAAACATTATTGTACCCTATGATGTATTTTTACTAAAACCAACTTAAGGCTTGCACCATAAGTGTGGTACTGTTGACTTGGCGTGCATGTGTTCTTGCTTGGGGAATGAGGACCCAGTCACCACAAAACCTTCATTCACACCGTGTACCTAATTGCCATTCAGCCTTCACTCAGCAACAATTGATTGATTATGTATTAAGTCAACCTCTGTTCTTTCATTGTTAGCCTCTTAACAATTAAAGAAGTCCTATTTGGCATCAGTTCAATCATAAACTTAAACACATACATGGGCTTTAAAATCCCAAGGCTGTATACTTCGTTATAAAGTGATTATTTGAATTATATAGAATATTTCTTCCAGATTATCATTAAAATGAAAACACAATTTAAAAATTCTTGAAGAGGACTTTCAGACCCTACGAATATGTCTTTGTGGATTCATAGATCTGAGTTTAAGAAACACTGAGACAAATACTTTGAAATAACTAGATCTTTCTTCCCATTGGTAACCAAGGGTCAAGTCAGTGTTAGTCCTGAATCAGGGAGCTACTGAAGCTGAAGATTGTAGGTAAGAAGGAATTTCAGAAAAGATGAAGTGGGCTAAACTTGGGGCTCTTGGGATATTGGAATTTCCTCATAGCCAGGAGCCAGGCAGGACAGATAGCTGTCAGTATGAAAAGCATTTTTAAAATACCTGTTTAGTAGTGATGTTTTACTAAGTATGACACAACATTACTTTTGTGATTTTGGAGGAAAAGGAGGGTAAAGATAGATAGCTTTTGACATCTATGGATATTCTAGAAAAGATCACACAGGACAAAAAACAATCAGTCTCAAAAATTTATTTTTTGAGGGCAACATTGTAATTTGAGCTAAAAGATATACTTTTACCTTCATAATTGTTTGACTTGGATATTAAAATTAGTTTTAATTCCTTAGAATAGACTAATGGTAAACAAAGGTACAACCCAAGTGCAGGTCTTTGCCATAAATAGTTTCCCAAATGAATGAACCATCTACCAGCATTGGAAATTTATTGTATCAATCCTATGCTATGTACACACAAAAAGTTTTTGAAAATTTTTTTATTTTTTATTGATTTTTAGGAGAGGAAGGGGGAGGGAGAGAGTGAGAAACATCTATGTGAGAGCAAAACATAGATTGGCTGCCTCCCGCATGCCCCCTACCCAAGATCAAGCCTGCAACCATGGCGTATGCCCTGACCAGGAATCAGACCATCAACTTTTCCATGCATGGATCAGTGCCTAACCAACTGAGCCACACCAGCCAGGGCAAAAGTTTTGAACCCAGCCTTTCCTCAGTTTGTCAGTTGTACTCAGCAATTTTAGACAATGCAGGGAATAAAAATAAATAATTTTTATTTTCTATAAAATATTTATGTTAAAAATCCATTTCTACATTGTATCACATAAATGCACCAAAAGTCAACAAATGTAGATATTTATTGTTGCTAGTAATAAAACTGTAGTAAAAGTTAAATCAGTCAAGAAAATACTTTGCACAATATATTTTTGGAAGGAATTGGATTTTCTTGATATAATCCTACGCAGTATAATGGAATATTGTTAGTAGTTGGAATAGTGCCACACATACCTACTGAATCGGAGGTTCAAAATATAATTTATTAAATATATGTTTCTATAGCTGAAATTGCTCCTTGAAGCATTGTTCTTCTGTAGTTCTCTAAATTTCAGATCCTCTGAGAGGGAAGGGAGTTAGCCTATTAAATCAGTGGTGTATGCAGAAATCAGGACACTCTGTGTAAGATAATGAAATAGGAGGGTTGGGTAGGGTCTGGGAGGAGTTGCGAATAGGGGAAAATGGGAGATATCTGTAATACTATCAACAACAAAAATATATTAAAACAAAACAAAAAGATAATGAAATATGTGGCTTCAAGTTTCTGCAGCTCAAAAATGCTTTCCTGTGAATTGGACATTTGCTGTAATTTGTCTTCTGTATCTATGAAACACTTGCCTCTTGACCAGAAATATTCTGATAAACCATAATTTTGGATGTGATGGATTCAGAGTAATCCATACAAAAGTGTTCAAGGCTTATTTGACCTTTCTTCTATAAGAGGAGGGATCTAGGAACTCTAGAGTCAGGAGTGAAGGATTGCTGGGGGAGGGAAGAGGGACAGGAGAAAAGACTGAAGGAGTCTAGGGGAGGGGGAGGTGGGAGAAATTGCATTCATTTTTTCACTACCCAGTTTGTTGTGCTGAGTCACTGAGAGGCACTGGTTTTATCAAATTCATATTCATTATTTTGCATACACACACAAAAATGGCAAAAGGAAAGTGCTCTATTTAGCCCCATTCTCTGCTATCACTTCCTCTTCGGGATTGTTTTTAAAATATATTTTTATTGATTTCAGAGAGGAAGGAAGAGGGAGAGATAGAGATAGAAACATCAGTGATGAGAGAATCATTGATAAGCTGCCTCCTGCACGCCCCCTATTGGGGATCGAACCTGCAACCCAGGGAATATGCCCTGACCCGGAGTTGAACCAGTGACCTTCTGGTTCATAGGTCGACACTCAACCACTGAACCATACCGGCTAGGCTCTTTGGAATATTTTAAACTAGTGTGTGTGTTGAGAGTTATCATCTGATAATAGGAGCTTCTGTAAGAAACAAACACATCATACTAGAATTGTTGAGAAAGATAATGATGGAAATCTCAAATCTCTATCAAAATCAGAGCTTAATTATATCGACAAGCTAGAGAAAATTACTAACCCCATAGCCTATCACATGCCAGTGTCCTTACACCATCATGTTAACAGAGTAGTGTTTCATAAGTTTCTTAAGTAGTGTTTCAAAATGAACTATTGTGTTACTCATCATGCCCACCAGTTCGTCTTTTGACTTTCTTTATGCACTTTCCATCATACCTTCTAATATATGGGTGTTTTGTTTTTTTTCAAGTTTCTCTTAAGTAGTTTGGGTAAAGTGAATTAAAGTTGTGTCTTCTGTAATATTTATAAAATGGCTTCAAAAAGACAATAAAGTAATAAGTCACCATTGTCCAAAAGTAAACACAAATTTTTTGTCATTCTCTTTTAAAATTTTTGTTCTCCAGTTTTAGTGAGATATAATTTTTTTGTTATTCTCTATAGCAATATATTAATTCTTTTCAAAATCTATGTGAATCATATTGTTTCTAACCTCATATGTTAACAGGTACAAATATTAGAATATTAAAATATCCTCTGTTAATTACTGGCAATTGAAATTAATTTTTAAATGATGTTTCTCTTCACCTGGGATTAGATTTTTTACAGCTTGTTTTTTGTTTGTTTGTTTTTAATTTTTAAACTTCAGGACTCTATTTTGGCACATGTTAGTGTTCTTAAAAAGCAAAAACTAGTCTTTCCGCAGCTCCGACTATTTAAGGCGAAGAACTAGCAAGAACTGAGACCACGCCCTACTTGGTTTGGCTCAGTGGATAGAGCATCAGCCTGCGGACTGAAGGGTCCCAGGTTTGATTCCGGCCAAGGGCACCTGCCTGGATTGCAGGCTTGATCCCCAGTAGGGGGCATGCAGGAGGCAGCCAATCAATGATTCTCTCTCATCATTGATGTTTCTATCTCTCTTTCCCTCTCCCTTCCTCTCTGAAATCAATAAAGATACTAAAAAAAAAACTGAGCCCACAATGATTGCATGAGTAGTGCCTGCTTTTACTGAAGTGGAAGCTCCAAGTGTCTTCCTTGATGTATTCTACCTGTTTTGATTAGAAGTTTAGAACAATGCAGTAGTATTTTAATTTTGTGTTGAAATACATCTAGCAAGTTCATGGTTCTTTTTAGACTGGGAAGAAGAGCAGTTAGCAGCCCAAATATTCTACGACTTATTTATCAAGGACGATTTCTACATGGAAATGTCACATTAGGAGGTAATATTTGCTTTTGTAATGGGATTTAATGTCTGTCTCATGGCAGCATTATCCATTTGTTTGTTTAATGCTAATGTCTGATTTTACTAAAAAATTTTAACTTCAAACTTAATGTGAATTCTGCCTAGTTTTTATGTCCACTTCTTTGTATTTTGCATTCTGTTAAATTTAATTTTAGCATTATAGTGTTTACTACCTTGTGAAATAAACTCTGTCCATAACTATCTTATAAATATAATCTTATTTACTTCTGGATAATATAATTTAAATGTAATATTTAAGTTAAAGCCAGACAAACTAGGAAAAAATTATAATTGGTTTTCAAATATAATGATGAAGGAATGTTTTCAGTTTGACTTTAACTGTTGTAATGGCCATTCATGCAAGAATAATGAGTAACATTAGAGAGACAGTCTCATACAGTGGCTGAAAGAGCAGATTTTAGAGCCAGACAGTCCACGTTGCACCCTGGCTCCACTGCTCACTGGCTGTGTAACCTTGGCAACTGACTTAACTGCTTTGTGTCCTAGTTTCCGCATAGTAAAATGGAATAGCCATAGCACCTGCCTCCTAGGTTGGGAGGGTTAAATTTTAGTGTGAAGCTTTTAGAACAGTGTTTGGCACATAGTAAACACTTGTTAGCAATTACTTCTCTTTACATGTGATTGGAGAAATGTAGCTCAATGGTGCCCCCTTATGGGTAAATTTTCTACCATCATCAGGGTTTGTTTTGTTTTTAGTACATGTATTTCAGAAGTATTCTGATGATTAGAAATTTGTAAGCAATGAATGATCTACTTCAGCGGTCGCCAACCGGTGGTCCACAGACCACTCATGGTCCGTGAGGTCCAAAAGGTTGGTGACCGCTGATCTACTTTAATATATCTTCATTTAAATTACAATCTGACTTTTTTCTCTAAAACTAACATGAAATGTTTAATTTGTTTTTCCTTGAAGGTAGAATATTTTCATTCATTCCTTCAGCATATACTTAGTCCTATGTGCCAAAACTGTCCTAACCAGTTGAAGATATACCAGTAAAAGGTAAACAAGATAGAATCTCTTCCTTCAAGGTGCTCTAGTAATATATAGAAACAGATAAAATCCAATATTAAAATGTTGTGTGATCAGTGCTGGAGTAGCTAAGTGCAAATGATAAGTATAATAATATCAAGTAGGTAGAACACTTCAGGATAATTTTCACAAATACCACGTTTCAGTGGCAGTGTAATAACTGGTCTAAGGGGTACTGCTACCTACTAAGAGATATCTGCCATTTCAAATACAGTTATTGGCTTGTAGTTCTTTTTATAGCTCTTTGTGTAGTTACATGGACCAACTCTTAGTGTAAGAATTGACTATTAGCTCCCTGGCTGTATTGGACATTCATTAAGGATGGGGCCATGTTTTAGTCTCTTTTTCAGTGTTTGTGTCTCACATAAGCTCTTGTACTGTTGATGGGTAAATGTTGAGTGAAGTTAATCTATTGACAATGTAAATGAATCTTGAGACTCCGTTTCCCTTGAGTATTGATCTATATGAGCAATTTCCCACCAACTTGGATTCTTTATCTTTTTGTTATGCCCCACAGTTCCAACTATGGAATTAAAGATTGTGGAATTTGTGTTAAAATCAAACTATTGATTTCATTCCTATTAAAATTAAAATTTTTACCAGTATTTTCTGGGAATTTTTTTGGAATAATTAACAGATTGACTTATTGCTATTGTCATACTGTGGTGCTGTCAGTGTTTTCAAAAACAAAATAAACCATTGCTGGTTTTAGTGATTTAGGCAAATAGCATAGGAGCATAACCTAGTCCTTTCAAGTTGATCAGTATATTTGGGTGTTTGATAAAGGTTGAGTAATATTCAACTATTTGGTTTTTTCATTGCAACTTTTCTTTTTAGTCTTCCTTTGTCCTTGAATGTGGATAATGAAGAAGACAGCACACAGGGTCATAGCAACTGTCTTCCCATATTCTAATGGCAAGTGTGGGGAAAGCTTCAGCTTGTGACTTTCTCTATAGCCCGGTGACTTAGATGTTGGACCAACAGCTGGAAATCAAAGGCAGACAGATTTCTATTCAATACCAGAAGAATATTTGAACAGTGGCGCTGCCTAAAGAAAGAATGGACCTCCGTGAGAAAGAGTGAGGCCCTTGTTATTGGTGACATTCAAGTAGCGGGCGAATACAGCCATGGGTAGGGGTTAGTCATTATGTTAAACCAGGAGACCTGGGCATTCTCTGCCACTGTCGAGACTTTGTGGTTTAATAAGTTTCAGGTTTACTAGTAAATTTTTGTTAACAAGTTTCTTAAACATAGCCCTGAACCCCTTTTCTTAATCTCAGTTACATAGAATTTCAATCTGCTAAAGAAAAGGTGTGGTAACAGCCTTACTAATTGGGGATAAAGATCAGCTACAGGTTTGACGTTCAGTACATTCCATTCCAGATCAGTGTTTCCCAAAATGTGGATGAGCTGGTGAGCTTGAGACTTCCTTGGATACTCTTAACAGGCAGATTCTGCATGCCCTCTCTCCCTCCCATCTCCCATCTTCTACTGAATCGAAGTCCTGGGTGATGTTCATGTGAAGGTTGAAAACCTCTGTTCTGGATATTGTGCAGTTTCATAGCAGAAAGCAGAAGCATCCGCAGTGAAGGAAATACAAAGCATTTCGGATCCTTGTGCCCTCTTCCTTCAGCTTCTTTGATGCTATTAGTAGCAGTACCTATTCTTTCTAGTTAAAATTAAAATGGAGAAGAAAAACTATAGCCTCATCAGTCCAAGTTTTAGCTTCAAATGGCCAGCTTCTCAGCAGCTTTCCAGGCCTGCCCAACATTTCTCTAAATTGCCATCTCAGTTCTCTGCCCTGTTTCCTGAGATCCATTTTCCTTGCTGTCTCAAAAGGCTGATATTAATGATGGCTATGGCAACACATACTGATTGCATTCTTTGTGTCAAGCCCTGAACTAAGCACTGCCTTGGATTGTTTAATTTAGTCAATAGAACTATTAAGTGGCAGGTGACAGAATTACTCTTTCCAATTTAAGTGAAGGAAATTGAGGCTTAGGGAGGGGAGGTCAGTAACAGACAACTCCTTTCACATGGTTGGTGAATAGCAGAGGTGTGATTTTTACTCAGGTCTGACATACTAGAGTCAACAAGATGGTATGACAGTGATGCACAGCTGGGCATGTGTACATATTAAATTCAGTCAGGCTTTCCCAATACATTTAGTGACATTTTTAATATGACATCTTATTTGCATTTTAATATTAAGTCAGGTTTAGGAGATTATCCACAAAAAGGCCCTCCTTTTTCCATTATCATGTGTATTTATGGGCCATCATGCTTCATTTGAATTTCAGAAGTTAAGAGACTAGACCAAATAATGGCTAGCTAATTTTAAATAAGGTGGAAACTCACCTTGATCACATGAACTATTAAGATTGAAGATAATTGGGACTCTTTTTTTTTTTAAATTAAATCTTTATTGTTCAGGTTACATTTGTTCCTCTTTTTTTCCCCCCCATAACTCCCCTCCTCCCAGTTCCCACCCCACCCTCTGTCCTCATCCATAGGTGCACGATTTTTGTCCAGTTTCTTCCCGCATCTCCCATTCCCCTTTCCCCGCCAAGAATAGTCAGTCCATTCCCTTTCTATGTCCCTGATTCATTATAATCACCAGTTCATTCTGTACATCAGATTATTTATTCACTTGATTCTTAGATTCACTTGTTGATAGATGCATGTTTGTTGTTCACAATTTGTATCTTTACCTTTTTCTTCTTCCTCCTCTTAAAGGATACCTTTCAGCATTTCGTATAATACTGGTTTAGTGGTGATGAACTCCTTTAGCTTTTCCTTATCTGTGAAGCTCTTTATCTGACCTTCAATTCTGAATGATAGCTTTGCTGGATAAAGTATTCTTGGTTGTAGGTTCTTGGTATTCAGCACTTTGAATATTTCTTGCCATTCCCTTCTGGCCTGCAAAGTTTCTGTTGAGAAATCAGCTGACAGTCGTATGGGTATTCCCTTGTAGGTAATTGAGTCTCTTTCTCTTGCTGCTTTTAAGATTCTCTCTTTGTCTTTTGCTCTTGGCATTTTAATTATGATGTGTCTTGGTGTGGTCCTCTTTGGATTCCTTTTGTTTGGGGTTCTCTGCGCTTCTTGGACCTGTAAGTCCATTTCTTTCACCAGGTGGGGGAAGTTTTCTGCCATTATTTCTTCAAATAGGTTTTCAATATCTTGCTGTCTCTCATCTTCTGGCACCCCTATTATTCTGATGTTGGTACGCTTGAAGCTGTCCCAGAGGCTCCTTACACTATCTTCGTATTTTCGGATTCTTTTTTCATTTTGCTTTTCCGGTTGGGTGTTTTTTGCTTCTTCGCATTTCAAATCTTTGACTTGATTCTTGCGCTCCTCTGGTCTGCTATTGGGTGTCTGTATAATATTCTTTATTTCAGTCCGTGTATGCTTAATTTCTAGTTGGTTCTTTATCATAGCATCGAGGGTCTCATTAGTTTTCGTGACTCTCTCCTCAAGTTTATTGACAGCTTCTAGCACATTTTTGCAAGCCCTCAAAATTGCGATTTTTAGCTCTATATCCTCCATTTCTGTCATGTTTTTTTGTCTCCGCATTTTTTATGCTTTCTTGGTGCACCCCCTAGTGGTCTTTGTGCGCAGTCTTGTTCTAGTTGAGCCTTGATTGTTGTAGTTAATACTAGAGGGATTTGACCACCAGGCCGACTGGCTGTGAGAATCAGCTGTGTCTGCTGCAGTGGGAAAACTTCTGTCCTCTGGAGAGGCGCTAATCTAGCCTTTGCCTGAGGCTATCCGGCAAATGGCTCTGCGCAGGGCTTGGGCGGGGCGGGCTCAACAGGGCGGGCGGAGGGAGCCGTTATGGTGCCCTCAGTCCTGTTCCCAGAGGCTCTGCTTCTCAGAACCCCCGGAACCGCTGCAAACCTCGGAGGGAAAGCTGCCTTCCAACTGAT